AGCGTTAAGCCTCCCAATAGACCAATAACTTCTGCGAGTACAATCATAGCCTTACGCCGTTCCGTAACCGAATAATTGCAATAGAGAGGTGCACATTGATGATAATATTCTTCATATGAAAAATCTTTTCTCCAATGTTCTACCATGAGCTGATCTATGATGAACTGAACAGTGGAATTATTTTTGAATACGCTCTGTTCGTGTAAGGCAATCGCCGTAAAGTTGTCGTTTACTGTTAGAAATGAAAGACGCTTATCAATACATGTCTGATTGTAGAAGCATTCCAAAGACGACTGAAGAAGCGAATTGATTGGCATACAACCAGTATCAAATCCAGGAATTTTCATAACAATCCATTCATCAGTCAAAAAAGTCGACCAATAGAGATTCATTTCATTTCGATTGAAAATGACCGAGATTGATCGACAATTGTAGTCGTAATGGTATCCGCAGTATTGCTCATTGATCTCTCCGTAACTCATCGACACAGAGAAAAAAAGAAAACTGTCACGATTGTAATAATTGAATAGTGTGCCAATAGATGTTTGAAGTCCAGATAAAAATTGATTATCAAAGATCATTGCATTAATCAAACTGAATTCAGATTGAAATGTGATTGGCATCGTCGATTCTAATACATGTCGGGATAGAACTCGTGGATTAATAATTGACATTGCATAGAAATTAAGAAGACTATTTTGAATTGCTTTAGTTGACAAACGACAGAAACCAGCTAATGCTTGAAATTGAGCACTGCCTGTCAGTCGAAAATCTGCTCTGTAGACGTAACTGATATTTGCTCTTGAGAATATTGTTTCAATCCATCTATCCGAGATAAAATCACTTGAACAGATTTGATGCAAATTTGCCTCGAGTGTAATAAATGTTCCGTAGGCAAATGCCGTATTCGAGCATGTGCATTGAGCATCACTTGTCAAATATTCGTATTGATCAATAGTAGGATTCATTAAAATGAATTTGACAGATGATTGTGTTAAACATAGACCGAGAGTAAGACCAATCAGAATTAAGAGAAGTAGAACGAGATAAACTCGTGTTGCATATATATTTGAACGATGTTGATGTTCGTTTTGATCATTTTCTTCGAAAACGTTGAGCTCGCGTAGATAATTTATTAAAACCGACATATGCGTATTCAAGAAAAGGAAGGGAATCATTGCAATAAAAAAAAATTGCAACTAAAATATCGACGGTTTTTTATTGATAGAATAGGATTGAGCGTTCAAGATAAACGCTCCTTGCCTATAGTTCAATCAAATGAAAACATTGACAGAAATTGTATGTAAAAAAAATATGTCTATGTTCTTGCTTAACACTTCATGGAAGAAAAACAAAAGAAAATCATGAAAAAAAGTTAGATATTCTCAAAAAAGTACAGCATTTGTAAAAAGTAATTATGAACGATTAAAATTGTGACAAAATTGGTTTTCTCAATTATGCGTGAATATATCTATTTTGTGTTGAGATTTTTCTATGAGTTCAATGTGCACAAAAGTTATTCGACTATCAGAGAAACAAAAAAATGAAGAGAAACTTAGTGGAAGGCGAGCTTCACTATTGGGAATGCATACCAAACTAATACTAGTATATCAACAGTGAAGCTATATTTTTTCTCTCGTTTTAGACAGCTAAATATAATTTTTTCTCCATTGTGAGATACTCTAACGCGTTTGACAATTAAACTCGACCATCGTGTTTGAGACATAAAAATTGAAAAAAAGCTGTTAGAATCATCCATGTTTTTCCACCAATCATATTGTTTTCTTGCCAAATGTGTATAGAATTGATTACTGAAATGAGTTTGAATACTTCTGAATGCATCGCTGCGTTTTTTAAATTTGTTCATTGCTATCAATCTCTTTGTGAAGTAGCACGAGAATAGTTTATAACGAGTAGTTGTCTTATTATATGAACAAAACTCATTTTTTTTTCTTTTTGAACACCTCATTTTCATCGACATGATAGTTCATAGTAATAGTAAAATAAAATTTGGAAAAATACAAGTTGAAACAAAATTATTTTGAGGCATACTAGAAAAAAATAAAACGCATAGAATGTGACATGAGTGATTTTACGGCAACAATTAACTTATTCGGATCGTACGATATAAGGTTTTAATCATTATATTCATTTTTGAGATTCTGATTTTTCTGAAAAGAAAGTTTTGACTGAATCCGATCTGTTTTGAGAGGATCGAGAGGTAGACTTGAGTCATCTGAGTAGTTTATTTTTTGTAATCAGAACACTGAATTGGTCTGACATGTTATTGAACTCAAGATTTCGAGCACAAGAATACGCTCGTTAGGTGTAGAACTTTTGAAATATATATGAGAAAGAGAACAGAAATATTTTGCAACAGATGATGGAGCATTGGTAACTTCAAATATGCAAAGAAAATGCCTTTCGTACCTTCTTCGTTTCATTTTTTCAATATTTTGCTAAAAGTATTTCTTCGTCGTTGTTCTATTTGTCTGCCTACAGATATTTCGTAGCTCGAGCAGCATATATTCACCAATTAAAAATCATATTGCTCTAAACTGGCATGATGTTAATTAGTGTAAAGAGCATCAGATAGCAACATACGTGGATCTAATATATGGTATAATATCATCTTACTCAACAAGTACCGAACAAAAAATTATTGTAAGTTGTACAATTAGTTGTAAGATAATAACATCTTTTGATTTACCCATAAAATAATTTAGTTTTAAGTAAGAGTTTTATATCTTTCTCATTACCTTATTTGATTCGGCTCGAAATATCTTTCGAGGATTTCTTGTTCTATAATCTTTTTACAATTTAGTATACATTATTAGAATGAAAGTAGATGATTTATCGTTGATTTGACAAACAAGATTGTTTTATTAGAAATCTAGATTTATAATAATCTTAGTTATTTAAATCGCTATTGCTTTTTTTAAGTGTATTTCTCGTTGAAACGAATAATTTCCAGCCGTTGTTGCGGACTCTGATACAGTAGTACACTGGGTGTAGATTCTGGAGCGTACGTACTTCTTTCCGATGAGTGTTGAATGAAAGCATTACTTTGTGACAAACGATAATCACGTTCTGATGGATAACGATGCTCAAGATCTTTGATCAACTGCTGACAAAATGGATCTTGAGCAGATACACTTTTCTGAATTTTTTTCACTTGAGCTTTGAGAAGATGGAGCGATCGATGATAGTTATTTTCGTTCATAGCTCGTCTGAGTACAAATGCTGTTTCAACCCGGTTTCGTTGAATATCAAGTGCGTAATTGACTTGAAGTTGTTTGAATGACAAAGAAGAACCCCGAACAAGATGAAAGGGTACGGGTGTAGTAGTTAATGTATTTCCGCTATTTGGTTCAATATATGTAACTGACGCATGACCTAAGATGATTCGAACAATATTCATGTTATTCGAACTTAGAATTCGATCATAGTAGTGATCTTTTAATAATATTTTACTAATATCGCTTCTTTCAAACCTAGTATTCTGTATGGTCGAGAATGCTCTTTTTTTGTCAGCATAATGGAGATTCTTTTCAAGATTTTCATGAAATTCTGATTTTAATATGATATACTATTCGACTTTCTTTTGTCCGTAATGCGATTGCACAAATTCGACCTCAAATAAAAAAATTTTGTCGCCTGGCTGTCTGATGTGCAAGAGTTTAACTTCTTGAAAAAAAACATGTACCCAAAAGAAAACAATGGAAAATTTCTATAGACCGTAGAAAAAGCCTTTTCAAATTGTGAGGGATTCTTATTTAAATATTTTCCTGTCAATTTGACTGTTTGTGAAGGGAAATTTTTTGAACTAAATCGATGAAAAAACTCAATTAAAAACAGCTGAAATTATCAATCGGATTGAGTGTGCTTCAATAAATATAAAATGTGGAAAGGTCGATTCTATATGAAATCAGATTCTTCGAAAAACCGATGCTAATAGAAAATAAACTCACCAACGACATTATTTTCTGGTACTTGTTGCTCCTCTTGTGATTCGTTCTCCAATATCAGATTTAAACTATTCATTCTCACGGACTGCTCGGCAGCTATATGTACTTTTGGTACATGTAACTGGAAGAGAAGGTTGCGACTTTCATCGGCATCGAGATCGTTCAACTTGAAAACGAGCTTGGAAGATGGTAGTTTCTCAGGTTCACGTTTATATTTGGAATGAGTATGTGTCACTTGGTACTCTCCACTAAATTCAATATTGACACAAATTTGTTTAGCCACACATGTCAACAAACCAGCCATGATTGTCGCAAAAGCAGGACCCATAGCATAATGTTTATCCTATACGACAGACCACGTATACTGTATTCAAATAAAATTCTTTAACTGGTTTTATCGAAAGCAGCTTTCTTAAGTCTAGTGCAACCTAACGTGAAGTATTTCTTATTAAGATACTTGCCTAAAAATTTACCGGTGAAGTTGAGCGTAGACCTAGAGAGAAGGCTTAGATTTGACTTTTCAAAAGATGACTCAACTAACAGAAACTGTAGCTCATTTTTGAATGTCTTCACAAGCATAACCATTCTCATGAGATTTCAATTGTCAAGTATGATATATGTAGAATCGGGTTGTTTACTTTAATCGAGAATTTCATCAATAATTCTGTGCGAAATAGTAGAGACTCTTAACGCTGTCCAAAAAAAATGAAATAACTATTAAGCTTAGGAAAATACCATGATAGTACTTTCATTTCGTAAAAAGTGAATTTAATAGCATTTGTGAAAGACGACAAAACATTCTCATGTCCTCTTTTACAATCATTTGGAATCCTAATGTACAGTTTATTTGTCAATATGGATATCACTTTCAATAACCTTTTAACTCAATCGTCACAAAAGTGTCACGAATAGCACCTCTAAAAGCAAACCGTAAACAAACAAATGCAGTTTAACAAATTCGATCGAGCACCAGTGATAATCTCTTAACTTGAAGAGTTAACGGAATAAATGAAATGGTAAACAAGGCTAAGTTTAACTTACAATATATGTGAATGTACCTCCATTACCCTGTTCGGCTAGTTGTACAAGTAGAGCAGTTTCATGTTTGCGTCCATAGCCAAATGTATGGCAAGGAATTTCTTCAGGTAATCTTTCCATTAATTGAGAATAATCATGCTTTCGATTGTCCTCACCATCGGTGAGTAAGAGTAAAGCACTGAGCGGATTTCTGGTCTGACGACTAGTGAATAAGTCGATACCCATTTTCAGACCGCATCCAATAAATGTTCCACTTCCGACCTGCATATCGTCATTAATTGCTCTCTTTATTCTTTCCTGACTAAACATCATACATAGGACATTTCAATCTTAAACTTCTAAACAGATAGAACATTGATATGTAAGTGCTACTCACTTTTGTTGATTCATACGTTTAAGTCCATGAGAACGATCAAAAGCTCTTCTGTCAAATGAGATAATAGCCAGTCTATCCATTTCGTTTAATTGTTCAACAATATAGATCAATGTTTGTTTCAGTAAGGTCATTTTATTTCCTGTCATTGATTTGCTTTGATCAACGACGCAAATAAGATCTATTGGAACACGAGATATTGATGATAAATCCTCTTCTGACGGCCAACTAATCGATGGCGCTTTGAGAGTAACAAGTCCATAAATGTTCGATTCCTGATAAGATAATTGACCATCAAATTCCAATGTGGTCGAGACGGTAATCATAGGAATAGTGGTAACATTTGATAAGATGTTAGCTTGTCGAGCCGAAGAAATACGAGTGGAGAACGTTTGTACGGCAATATTATCAAGTGGATCTTCCACTGAAGCAACGACCTATATAATATAAGAGAAAAAAGTTCGCGATATTTTTTCTATCGATATGTCTTTGCAACTACTAGAGAGATTTTAACAAATAAAGTCTTCTGTGTAAATTGTAGAGCTTTTCATGCTGCATCTTGTGGTATATTTTGTTTTTTTGAATAGAATGTATTAGGTGATGAAAAGATGCAATGAATGATTCATGTAGAAAAAAATGATCTTTTTACAGCGTTGAAAATCAGTCGCACAGAATTTTACTTTGTTTGAAAACAAAAAGTGCACAATTAAAATCAGCTTTACTTTGTAGATTGTAGAGCTTTTTGCGTTACATCTTGTGACATATTTTGTTTTTTTTTAAACAACATATTAAGTGATGAAAAGTTGAAATGCAAAATGCTACCGTTTAATCTGCCTCACCTGTTGTTTTTTTGAGAACCAAAAAAAGCATGTAACAAAACTTTCTTTATTGACGCTCTTACTTCTTAAGTTGAAACCTTTATTTTTGCACAATAAGTGTACTTTGAAATGCTCTTTAAAATGACTATTTATTTGTTGAAATTGCTCAAGTAGTTGCAAAGATATATCGATAGGAAAAATGCCGCGAACTTTTTTCCCATGCCTTAATAGGAAAGACCGAAGTTCATGCAATGTGATAGTCCTCTAAATATGAAAAAGGATTCTGTTGATCACTTTGCCAAATCATGAGTGGCATTGGTTGTCAACGTGGTAGAAAGTCATCCAATTTATCACTTACGTCAACAGATGATAAAATACTTCGATCGTGTTGATTATTCTCTAGAGGATCTGCTCCATATTGATGCATCAAATTGTGCTGCTGTAACGGTACTGTATTAGTATTGGCACTAGTCAACATTTGAATTACACTTGTGTCGATGTTGACTCGACACAATGGACACTGCTGATGTTGTGCTTTCAAATTTAATGCAAGACATTGTAAATGAAACTTGTGATTACATGACAATGTGAGAAGAGGTGAACCAGGTGCTAAAGCATTTAAACAAATGGAACAGTCGTCAGGCATTGTAGCTGACAAAGCGGAAGTAGTTGGTAACATCTTCGCTATGCTTAAATGTAATAGTAATATTTTTATGGTAAATACTAATAGTAGATATATTGTGTTTGTTGTCTTGCAAAAACAGGTCTAATTTTTTTCGCTTAGTTATATGAATGAGTCAATAAACAGAATGCATTTCAACTTTTAGCAAGCAAGAAAATATAAAAGCATTATTTCATCCAATCAATAAATGTTGTCGAAAGATGTCCATTTATGTCGTTTTCTTTTTGAATAGTCAATAAAACAAATTCATACTACAACAAAAGGATGCAATTACTACTGATGTAAATGATGTGACACAATATCAACTTTCATCCTATTTTACGCTACAATCCGTGGTTCGCTTTTACACATTATAATTTTCGATCAGTCTGGTTAATGAGTTATGTTTTGAACAAGTGGAAACGATTTCTTTTTTTATCGGATGATTATTAACAGAAATATGTTGAACTTAATCGACGCACAGATCGATTTGACCATTAATCAGATGCTCAGGAATTGAATGTCTATGGAAATAAGAGATTTGCATTATTACCAAAGAGTAAATGTTCTAAAATGAAGTTCATACTCACAACTATTTGATCCAATGATATTTCGATGATCAAAGGGTAATTATCTTAGACAAATATTGAATCCTTTTTTCGGAAAAATCAAAGAATGCTTTTGCGAAATCATTCGTCCTAGTAGGAAATAGACATTAATGGAGACTATATTTATATCAGTGAATTCTATTATAAATGTTCTTTGAATGTGCTTGAATTTTTTTTTGTAAAATTTTTCCCAGCAGATATTTTCAAATAACACAAACTAAGGAATGAGAATGCTATTATAGGTAGAGAGGTAAAGTTTTAGAAAACTAAAAAATATCGTGTGAACGAATACATGAGAAAATACCAGTTTTCTTAAGCAAGAAAAGATATGCAAAAATATCATAGGCAACTTATCCTTACAGTCAATGTTCATAATACGAATAGCTATGTCGTAAGTGTCAAGAATTTTACTTTTTATTATATAGTTTAATACGAATACAGAGGTCTCTTCATTTTTTTGAGCATAGAATTTTTTTCTGTATAAAATGATGCACAAACATCCAGCTATCTTGAGAAATAAACAAGTAATTAGCAGCAGTTTGCGAATAATTGAACTTTTTCTAACTACATGTACGGCCCATATATAGAAAAAGTGTGAATTCTTTTAAAAGGTGCTTCTCTTTCTATTGCGTCGTTTCATTTATGAGTATTTGATAAAGTTAAGTGTTATATGATTCGAAGGAGGCTAAAACGCTCTATCTTTTGGCAAAAAAACTTCTTATTTTGAATTGAATTACTTCGTGGAGAAGACTTATATCATCTGTTTCATGAATTCTATCCTCACTCAATCAATTGATCAACATGTCTTTAGTTACATTCGATTATCATCTTTGTTGAACTCATGGGCATTATGCGTAGATTATGAGAATTTGAATTGGAATATATCAAAGAACTTCGAATATGGTGATATTAAAACTTTTACGAATAAAATGCAAACAAATAAATTTCTTCGTAGAAAAATGTCGATGAAAAGATATGGGGAGATGAGCGTCTGTTTAATTAAAATCTGAAGGTTGAGTTGCCTCTTTTTTTTCTAGTTACATCACTATCTTGTCTTCTTCAATCGATCAGAAAACGCAAACAAGTTCTCTTTGAAAAATGCTGCTCGCTAACTATCCAATGCTGAATTGGCCTGTCATTTTATTTGCAGAACGATACATATGTCAACCAACTATGTCTTATCATTTTAGTGTAACCGATGGATATCACGTTTCAAGAGCGACAAGTAGATAAGAACCATAAGCAAAAGCAATCTAACTTGTCTTGCTAGTTATTTATCAACATGCATGTCTGGTTCTTGTTAGTAGTATCTGCGGTAGCTCTACAAGCTCAAGATATAAAAACATTTGGTATTGGTCGTGCCTCTCAGTGGCTGTATCCGAATGAGGTACATCTTTGCGGCGAAGAGTTTCTTATGATCGAAATTGAAGATATGACACTTTTCTAGACCGAAATCTTCAATCATACACTTGCTTCTGATTCATCATGGGGTGTTCTCACGCATTTTTGGGCGTCAGGTGATCCGGGTAAACTTGTTCTTCACTCGTTCTTTTGAATTGTTAAGAGAAATACTGTTTGTCTTATTTTCTAGCGATCGATCTTTCGACTTTTTCGTACTATATCGATGGTGAAAGTATTCCATCCATTCAATTCGTAAGTTATATGTTAGTTGGAGCTGGTTTTAATGATCAGACCGCACCTTGGGGTACGAAATGGATGGGTAAAGGAGCAAAAGGTGGTGGTTGGTACAATAATTTGTAAGTAGATGCTCTATTTGATCTTTGATTTTATAAATTCTCGTCATACTCCAGTCGAGTTCCATTTCAAAAATCTATTCGAGTTACTGGCCAGTTACCCACTGGTATAACCACTAGAAAAAGGATCTGGATCATTGTACGTGGCACGGAAAATCTACCTACTGCATTTCATGGCTTTCAACTTCCAACCAATGCACGTTTAAATTTACATAAAATCGAAAATAAAACTTATGATCCATTCGCATGGATCCGCGTGGTAGACATTCCAACTGGTCAGGGTCTTCTTCTTTCACATAGTTTAGCGGTTATCAGTGGAAATCTGGAATTTCTCGAAGGTTGTTATCATGCTTATCCAGATTATGACGAGGCATTTCCCGGCGTAATCATCTCGACGGGTACGGAAGATTATTTTGATAGTGCTTTTTATTTCGATGGTGGACAATTTCATTTCGAAGTCTCGGGTTTTACACACTTTCGACAAGTATCTAATAGTTCGTTGGAATGGTCTGCTTATCGTATGCATGATCTCGATCCAATCTTTTTTAATAATGGTTTTCGTTTTGAATGGAGAAATGGTGATGTTCTCGATGATCGTGGTTTTAAATGTCTTGTCTACCAAGATGGAAATGCCATTGGATCGCCGACGCAATCGATTGTTACCTCGTATGCATGGATTTATACTTGGTAGAAGAAAAAATGACCATTTTTTTTAAATTTTCATTTAAATTTATTCGCATGAAACAGCAGTAGAATAAAAGAATTTTGAATTGATTGAAAGGAAAAAAAGAATATTCGCTCCTAAATATGCCTGTCAACTAGCTTAGAATCATAGAAAAAGTCTTGGTTTTTATATCAATCAATATTGATTCTCGACAATAACTGAACCGAGAGAGAATGTGAGTATGGGATATTGGTGTATTGGCATGTGTATGAGTGGGTGTGAGGGTGAGTATGGTTTAAGAAAAAGATCACATTCCACACCCACACCCTCTTTGGAAGCCACGAAAATCAATCATATCTCATAAGATCTTTCTATACGCATTTGAACTTCTTTGAATTGGATATTTAGATAAAAATTATCCTCATCCGTTTAGTCGAATTTTCTGGAGTTCTTCTACAACCGAATTTCGACATTAACTAGAAAGTTATTTTATTTATGATACGTAGAATGTTTGATACAATTATGTATTTTCTTTCAACAGATTAGAAAACAAAACATATTTTTGAAGTTATATGTGTTATTTCTTGCCGATTGAAATTCAAAAAAGCCAACTTTATAATTAGTTGAATTACCAACACTTGTTATCAGTAACGCTGATAATAGTGGTGTTGGCGCGAATAATACGGATAATTGTAACCATCGAATGATTTTGGAGTTGTGCGATGGCTGGGTAAACGTGTCGTGAACATTTCATCATGAAATGGCGGGCTCCAGTTCGTATTGTAACTAGTATCGACGAGATAAGGATCACGGTAAGTATTTTTCGGTTGACTCCATTCAATCGGTACACTGTGTGACACAGTCGGATGTAGGTAATAGCCGGTTACACCAATAGCAGACGTATTCTGGTGTATTCTATTGTTCAAAGATGTTGTGAAATCTAACTTTTGATGTTGTCTTTGAGGATTTGTAGCAGGTATTGGCTTTTGTACAATCACTTTTTGTGATTGTTGTTGACTATGAGATTGCTGTTTTCCGAGAAAATGTAACCAATGACCAATACTAGTAATCAGTTGATTAGCATAGAGCTGTTGTCGCCAATTTTCTGGAATACTTTGATAACCATAATAAGCACCAGCCAACTGACCATAGATGGCTGCTGTAGTGTCAGTGTCATCTCCTAGCTTGATAACATCAAGAACTCCCTTCTTGAATGAGTTCTGATCGTAAAAAAATGCCCACAGAGCGGCTTCCAGCGCGCTCACTATATATCCCTTGCCACGAATTCCATCATCATATCCATGAGGCCGCTTGTAGGAACCTTGAGCCACCCGTAGAATTTCTGGGTGGAGACTTTCCGACCCGAACCAATGTCGATGATTTTTATAAAACTCATTACTTAGCAGACTGGTTTTGGGCTCACCATGGACAGCCGCGACGATCAATGCTGCATAGTATCGGCAAGCATCGGACGCTTTGATATCTCCATGAGTCAATGTAGCACTGCGCCCAGCATAACTAACGGCTTCGAGGGGTGAACGAAAATAAAAGAGTGGTACAGGAGCGAGACGCATTAGAGCTCCATTTCCAGCGACATCCGATGAACTACAGTCGCAACTGAAGTCTTTTACGTACAGAACTTTCTCCAGTGGAAGCCGATCGACTTCTTCCTCAGTTGTGCAATAATAGAAATTCTTCAAAAGTATTTGACGGCGACTGAATTCATCAAGCGCTTGACGAGTAGCACTGCCAATATCAAAACAGTGACCAGTGGATGAGAGGAAACCGTATTTGTACCACCATTTATAACGAACCATTTGATCATAGGGATCAAAACGCCGTTTAGTAATTAGTGATGAAGCGAGACATAGACTCATGGATGTATCATCTGTCCATTGTCCTGCATCAAGACCCCATGTACCTCCTCTTTGCATGTCAGTAACAGGATGATGTAGAAGGTAAGCATGTGGGCGAAATTCGACACTGGCTCCCAGTGCATCACCGATGGCTAATCCGAGAAGAGAGCCAACCACTCGATCAAGAGTGTTTTCGTTTGCTGAAAAATCGTCTGGAAATGTAACTTTAATCTGATGTGGAAGCACATGATCGTAAGGAGAAGGAAATATAATCATTTAGATGGTGCTAAAAAAAAAACAAAATCTAAAAGAGAAAAGTACAGGTACATGTGGTGTACTGCAGAGTTGGAACCGGGTAGGTTTTTTCTGTCCAGTCCGGTCCGGCCAGCAATTGACCGGGTGAATTTTACAGCCAAACTGGCAAAAATCCGGTGAAAATAACCGACTGTAAAAGTATCTGTTCACATAAAATGTTGGCGAAGGGGGAATTGAATATTCACATGCAGAAATCCGAACTAGGGGTGATCAATTTACATTTACGAAAAATTTTTAAATCCAAACATAAATTTTAAAAAGTTTTATTTATTTTGAATTTAAATTGGATTTACATAAATTTAAATTTTGTAAAATTATTTAAATTTATGTAAATCCAATTTAAAATAAATATAAATTAACAGCAAATCGACACTCCTAGTCCGAACTGGAAATAAAAATTGGAACTAGAACTCTTCCTTCATATTTTATAGCAGGGTGCATCGACTTGCCGAGCCCAACATCGATACAAATTAGCTATTCAGATCAAATCTGTTTTTCATCTTAATTTCAAAAAAGAAAAAAAGGCAAGTTTATAATAAATCTAACACAAAAACGTAAATATTTATTTTTCTTGGTTCAGGCAGCTGCCTAAATAGAACAAGAGAATAAATATTTGATCAAGATTAAATTGAGTGATATACGAGAAAGAAATCGATAGAAATATAAAGAGAACAATCAATCGTTTATAGTCAAGTTGAAGACAAGATATCTATTCAGTTTTTTGCAAATACATTCTTCTGACTTGCAAATATCATAACAAAACCGTTTTCACTAGAGAAAATTCTTGGGTGCAAGCAACAATTTTGTAATGATGAACTGGCAAAAATTCGGTCCTGCCCGGTCCGGCCGGATCGGAGCCGGATTGTCGGACCGGTTCCACCTCTGGTGTACTGACTACATGATACGCAGTTATTATTTATACTGATAAGGCAACACAAAAATATTGTACAAGATACAGCTTTTCTCATTGAAAATGACAACAGTTTTAAAGATTAAGGTTTTCTGTTCTACTTGTAAATGTATAAAGGGAATTTTACTCAGCAATGCAATATGTGCCTCGCTAATAGGTTATGTATTGGATATGTCAGATTTCTAATCGAGAACGGTACAAGAATGTTTTCTTTTGTAGATTGATAAGTGGAACTAAACGACTTGTATTTATTTTTGGCATCCACATTGGAAAAGACCGAGAAGCAACACAATATGAAAGAAATAATCCCACAAATTCGAAGCATCCCTTTTATTCACCATAGATGCATATTCATAGCTCATCGGGAGTAACCATTGTGCTCCTATAATCGCCACAACTGACTGTTTCGGAACTGCTGATAATATATTCACTACTTACAACAATAAAAAAATTATCATGAAGTTTTAGTATTATAAAATAACTGACTAGTTTCAATTTAGTGATAACTATCTCGTTTTTAGTTACTACACATCTAGTAATTTCAATAGGCTGAATGAAATTAACGGCAAGTGTCGTCCGACTTTCGCTTTCATTATATTTACACATCGTGTTCATCAGTATGAAAATAGAGAAAACTATAGCGGTGTACTATTCGTACCAGGTGAACTATTTTTAATAAATTTTATTGAGATTTACATACATTATCTTCTTATTGGTAGCGCATTCTGTCTTCTCTAAATATTCGAATTGTGCTACAAGAACACGAAAAGAACCCGAATTAATAGTTACAAAACATTTTCGCGCAGCCGCAAGAGAAACAGTTGCGCCTAGATGAATGCACAGTAGTGTACTGTCTATGATTGCCCTAAATATGCATTTTATCAAAAGTATATCATATGAAATTTTTTTTTTATAGCTATTCTGCTATAGTTATTTGCTCTTATTACAGTGTATTGTAAGAATTTTTCAAAGTGTTTACCTTACTTTGATAGAAGTAATGCAAGAAAAATGAATTCGGTGACAATTCAATATAGCATTGGCAGCAGGCGCTGTCTAACAAAAATTCAAAATAATTGAATACCTTCTTTAGAGAATGATTTGCGACAATCAGGGTGTTTTATTTTGCTCGATGTTGTTGTCAATCATAACGGCAATGTTAGTAGTATATATTAAAAAGAAGAAATTGAAGGTTTGTGTATGAAAAAAGGAAGAAAGAAAAAATCAAAAACTGAAAGCGAATAAAAAATAATAGACACGCAAGTGGTCGTGGCATTACTAATCGATTTTTTTATACCTTACGGCAATAAAATAAATATTTTTGTCTCTTCTTGCTTAATCGAACTCTATTCAATATAATAGTGCCAAACTTAATAAATGAATTCAAATCAAGTTTCAATGGTCTGTGTTTCTATAGCACTCACATCATCAGTGATGTGTATGTTTGAAAGTTAATATTTGAAAATTGAAACTTGAATTGGCTTTAAATTTCAAGTGTGACATATATGTTTAATTTACACATAATACTAAGTTAAAACTTAATCAAATATAAATTGAAAGAATACATTCATAAATAAAAATATATCAATTAATACATAAGATAAATTATTTTGCTTTTCTGTAAAAGAAAAATATTTAAACTAAATGCGTATATGTCATGCTATTGAAAATGATTCATGATAAATAATGATTTTCATCATAGAAAATTTTTCTCCTTGAATGAAATCCAATATAAAAAAAACAAAACTAAGTACTACTATCGGAATTTTAAAAGAAGGCAGGTGGAAAAAACTTTATAACTTTCGAACGAAATGTCATAGCGACCTGCGGTTTTCAGTAATCGATAGAAGATTATAGGGAACACATTTTTATATAAAAACCAAGGTTTAAATGATCAGTGATTGTGAGGTCACTGAAAGAGTAGACCCGTTATTTGGTGAAATATCAGCAGAACAAGCTGAAATTTTCAGCATATATAGCCCCACCTGTAGCCCAATCTTTCTTAAAAATATCATCGATAAATCTTATAATGACGAGGAATGGTGAGCCAATCATCATCTGGTCTTACATAAGGCTCTCATTCATTCAATATATTAGGAAATGGCCTCAATTTTTGACTGAATAAATATCATAATCTAGACTTCACATCTATGCAATTATATCATAGTTTGATTATATGAACGAGAAGAGACGGTGAAAATATTACTAAGTTCTACATTTCTCTTGAGAAAGTTGGGAAGATTTGTTTTAAAATACTTACTGTATGAAAATCATTTCTTCGTCGAATTTTGGCTATTTCCGTACATTTCTACGACCAAAGGAGGATGCTATTGCATAGATATGAAGTCTAGATTATGATATTTATTCAGTCAAGAATTGAGGTCATTTCGTAATATATTGAGTGAATGAGAGCCTTATGTAAAACCAGATGATGATTAGCTCACCATTTCTCGTCATTATAAGATTTATCGATGATATTTTTAAGAAAGATTGGGCTACAGGTGGGGCTATATATGCTGAAAATTTCAGCTTGTTCTGCTGATATTTCACCAAATAACGGACCTACTCTTTCAGTGACCTCACAATCACTGATCATTTAAACCTTGGTTTTTATATAAAAATGTGTCCCCTATAATCTTCTATCGATTGCTGAAAACCACAGGTCGCTATGACATTTCGTTCGAAAGTTATAAGCTTTTTTTCCACCTGCCTTCTTTTAAAATTCCAATAGTAGTTTTCTCAAATATTATCATATGATTAATTCTTTCACTGTCATTGACGCATATATGCGTCAGAAGACTTATCTTCGTGTGAACTCAATTAATCATTCATAAAATATGGGTGGAGATGTCGCCTTCCATCTTCACCTGCACCCAATACCAAAATCTCGAATCTATGACGGGACATGAAAACAACATTATTTTTCGTTAACTTTTCATCAGTCTTTAATACAATATCTATTGCTTTTCAGTTAATACAAAGTTCAGCTTGTTTCCTAATTACTAATTTGTGACATACATAATGAAAAAATATGCTTTTTTTGCTACATTTGACATTTCAACCAATTTTCAAGTTTTATAATTTTCATAAACGACAAGTCTAGCTTATTGCTGTGCTTCGCATTAAGTTCGCCCTACAGACTTAGCTCATGTATTATGTAGTTTTGTTCTTATTAAATGGAGAAAAAAGAAGATATGCCTATAATGGTAAATCCATCAAATTTATTAGAAGTATTGAAATCTCATTTTCTAACAGTTTATTTATCTACATACGTGTATTTTTTCTTCAACAAAGACTTGACATTTTCTGTAATAGATATACACTTTTGAAAAGTTCGAATAATGTTTTCTTCTTTTTTTTTTATTACTGAAAATGAGAGAAAAAAAAAGCAAACAACAAAATGTATAATACATTGATAAAGATATTTAAAAAAATACCGACAAAAGAGCTCGTCACAAGACTAAAAAAAAGAAGAAAATATTGCTGTTGCCTTTTCTATTTTGCACCGTATTAATTATTTAATCAATGTGTTATATTCATATGTGTTATTATAATACAGGCAGCATCACTACGACCTATTTGATTAAGTACATTAATCATACTAACAAGTGATTCTTGTCGAGCATCCCATAATGTTAATAAATGTTCAGTTGGACTTGTTTTTGTAGCAAAATATTGTAGATAACTTAAATAAGAAATTTTCAAATCAATATAAAATATATTTCATTTAAAAAAAAAAAACAAAAATTTTTACTTAATTCCAAGTAAATTACTTGCAAACATACGCCAATCATTTCCTAATGATGTTGGTGGATCAAGTATTTCACATAGTTTTTGTCGAATTATTTTTGGTAATCTTTACAAAGAAAAACAAAAAGACATTAATTTAAGATTATAAAACTTTTGCAAAAAAAAAAAAAATTACCTAGACATTTTCTCAGAAGATTTTGAAGATTGTCGATGACGTAATGAGATTGTATTCCATCCAGAATTGTTTTGTAACTATAATAGTAATAGATATATATCGAAGAATATTCAATTCAATATTACTATT